ATCAAATAGTATATTACTTTTCTTCGAAATCAAACGCACTGAGATGGACTTATACATGAAATGTTTAAAATATAATTGACAGGGCTTTCGACGACTATGCACCAGTGAGGAGGATACGTGAGTGAGTAATGGGCTGTTTACACTTATACTAGTTCACTAGTATAATTGTAAATACCAACTAGCACGAATTAAAATTTTTCCTGAAATCTCATGCTGGTAGATGCTGACGCCGATAGATTATGTTGGTTACTTTTTAGTACAGTTCTAGTACACTAGCGCCAGAATATATGGAATCACCACATAAGCACAAACGAAGTGACAGACGACTAACTGGCGAAGAAATCCATTAAAATAATGTGGTTCACTGTAATAGAATTTTCTTAAAAGCTTGTGCCATCATCCACCAGATGGGCTAGTATTTTTGTTTTGATTTAAACAAAGTTTATTTTGTGTGCAATGATCTTTGACAGTGTGCAAAGAGTGTATCATTTTGTCATTTTTATGCATTTCAGCTTTGAGTAGAGTGAAAGAGATAGAACCAAAATATTCTAGTACATTTGGTGTTGCCATGTGGTACAATCCAATAGTAGTGTTGTCATCCATGTGGTACACTGAAAAATTGCAATAGCAGGTTCGTCACCAAAGTTTTCGAGCCGCTTCGTCTGTCACTTCTTTTGTGACATAAGTATTCGAAGACCTCAAAATAGGACATATTTATGCGGTTAACCATTACAAATTTTGCAAATCTTTCTACCAAAACTATACTAGAATCTCACAGTCGGATTAATGTTCATGTTAAAGCATTAGCTTATTATGTTTTTCCAAATGTATAAGTTACAAAAATAGCTGATTTTTTCCCCAACGAAGCGAGAAAAAAACGTGCCTAGAGCTCGAGTCACCGTTTTTCGATCATTAATTGGAAGCCATGCCAGCGTGAAGTAAAACAACGGACCCAATTTGATTTAGAACAACAAACTCCCAACGGAAGCTATGGCTTGAAAAAAAACGGCGAAAGGCAAAGCTCAAACAAAACCGAAAACCTATTACAATTCCGTGCACTATTACTACTTTGCGTATTGTTCGGAGAGAGGCAGACGGATCAAACGAAGGCAAATCAATTACCTCACCATACAGCCCGTTTGCATAAATTATTCACTGCGAAAGGTAGATGATCTCATTCTATGACTGAATGTTTAGTCCGCTTCGCAGCCCAGTTCAGTCTGTCCACTATCATAGCGATTCTTGCGAATACACAAACACACACTGATATGCGCACCTTGAGCGATGATGAGTGATGGAGTAGCCCCAAACAAACTGATGGTCATCTAACAGTCAACCGGGCGGCCGTTGCGTTGGTGAAAAAGCAGTGTAGGTTAATTTGCACCTCTTGGAAAAGGTTTGCCAGCTACGCTGACTTGGAAGGTTGAAACATTAATACTAGGGTGGTTCAAAATATCGATATTGCTTTAGATTTAGAATCCATTGAGCGGGGTGGAGCAAAATCTATATTTTGAACCACCCTAATAAATACATACATAGTTCTGTGTTAAGCTTTGTGTATATGAATTGTTTTAGATTACATCTGGACGAGGAAAAAACAACTGTGTAAGCTGCCGACCTTAGGCCCTAGTGCTCCACTAACTGGACCAATCTAATCGGTCACTTAAGTGCTCTAAAACATTCGATAACAGAAAAATATTGATTTTTCACCTAGCGAATAGCATTCGCTAACTGCAGAAAATATAAAATCAGTTAAGTAGTGCGTTTAAAGTGCAATGGTATCTTACTCACTCACTCATTTATCCTGCACAGCCCTATTGGTGCACACAGAAAAAAATTCTGAATTTTAACTATCGCGTAAAATCTCCCTTCGTTTAATTTTGAGCTACTGTTGGCATAAACAACGAAATTTTTTACAAGCTTGCATACAATATTGCTAATTTAAGAGATATTGCGCCTAAATTTACACGAAATATCATGTAAATTAATGCCAAATCTAGCGTTAATTTTATGTGCGCTATATCTCGCAGAAATTAACATGAATTTTTCAAACGGTGCATAGGGCCAACGTGAAAGATTTCCATCCTGGGCAACTGTTCGCTTTTGCCTTGATCACATCCTTGACATCCTTTATTTCTTTGATGAGGCTCCGCCACCATGAGCGCCTGGGTCTGCCTCTGCTGAGATGTCCAGCGCATGCTTGCAGATTTCGTTTCCGCGCCTTCGTAGTGTGTGGCTGACCCATCTCCACTTACGTTCTGAATTTCTGGAGATATCGGCTTCTGATGACATCGGCGATGGAGCTCAGCATTCGATATTTAGTTGTGAGACTACCAGGCAAATTCGGATTTTGGTGTATTGACTTATCTGGTTAGATATCCATACATTTCGTACACTCGCCAATGTAGCCCCAGCCTTATTGGTTCGTGCACCTATGTCGCTATTGGTCCCGCCGTCTGATGCTATCTGGAAGCCAAGATATTGGAAACATTCGACTTTCTCCACTGCTTGCCCCACTACTGTAAAGTTGGAAAAGTTGTCCATGTTGACATGGAACGAATTGGTCTTGTTGACGTTGATGGTGAGAGGAGTACTCGGCTAGGTCGTTGAGCTTATTCTGCATATCAGAGCGCCGTTGAGCTAATAGCACAACATGATCAACCAAATCAAAGTTGTAGAGGTGCATCATAGTGATAGGCTTCCAAAGCAGTCCATGGTCAATCACCAATCACCTACCACAGTAGTGGTGATTGTATACATCCTTACCTTACATCTGCGACTACCCGGATAGGGTCGGACAAGGCTCCGTTATGCAGGACTCTACATGTGAAAGCCTCGTACTGCGTACGCTTCAATGAGGCTGACGATTCTATCCGGGACTCCATTGCATCGCAAGGTGCCCCACAGTTTTTGGTGATTGAGTCCGCTTGGCCGCTTTTTCGTAGTCGCTCTGAATCCCATAGACTGATATGGTTCCGTCTGGAAGTAATCGAGCTCCGTAGCGTGGGTAGATCACCTTTTCGTGGTACGTTACGGGATGTAAGATCTACCACCGATTCCTAGTCCTGACTACTTCAAACTAGGGGAACAGGATTTTTCAGTAATCAAAAGAACACATCTTATAGCGAATTCGTTTATTATTCAGTTCCAACCTGGATCGGGTATCAAGATTGGGTCTGCTTGTTTTCTGACAAACGTCAGTTTGCTCGTTTGTTTTTAAAACCTAGCTCAGGTTGAGGTTCACACTGACAAAAAGTTCGGTTTCGCACTGGGTTGGAACTGGTGTTAACCCCGATAATAAACCTATTCGCTATTAGTCCTTGTTACTTTTTATGCCTTGTTATTAGTGATAAGTCCTCGGGTTGCTTGGACCGAGGATGATCTTGAAACAAGGAAAAATGAGTTAGTTAGTCTTCATCTATATGATTCCTTATCTTTCATTCGTTGTTCCCTAGTTTGAAGTGGTTAAGACTAGAGTTCTGATGCATGGTCATTATCAATGCCATTCTTTAATTTTGTTGCTAAGGAATCCAATTTTGACTGACATAGGGCCTCGCCTTTGGAGGGTGTTCCAACACTCCGAAGGATATAAATAGCGGGACCTTTCAATTAGAGTCGGATCGTTGCGATAAATGGAAGAATGACAACTGTAAAAAATCGAATACTTCATCATATCTCAATAGTGCTGGAGTAATACGACATACAATACAAATTCACAATACACAATAGATCAAATTACTGGTCGCAGTGGTGTTAGGTCCTGAACAGAGAAAAAAACGTAATCGAGCTTATTACTTACGGAAATGCGTTCATCCTGGTTTTGAATTTGCCTTTATACCTGTGCCATGTTAAAAATTATACTTTTTAACTTTCACTGTAACAAGCCACGGTCGCACTTTTCCCAGGTTGCTGGTGTGTGTTAACCGTATAAACAAAGCCGTTCTACGATTTGACAGTCTGTTTGTACAGAAGTTCAGTAAGGGGCTGTTCATAAACTACGTAGACAGTTGGGGGGGGGGGGGTTGACAATTATCCATGGCCCATACAAATTTAAAAAAATTTGTATGGTCAATTGCCTACGCAGGGGGAGGGGGGAGGGGGGCAAGAATACCAAAAAAAACTTTCTACGTAGTTTATGAATAGCCCCTAAACAAATTTTCGATTTACAGTGTGTTTGGTACTTTTTTACCGAAGCGGCGTTTGCCACATTTTACAGTTCGTATTCTAAAGTTTTTTACAGTGTTCGGCAATTAAATATTTAGATTACCAAAATATCGTCAAAATTTTACCGAAAATTCATTTTGTTTACCGAAAAATCTGTAATATTCTGCATTTACAGATGTTTTGCGTAACAAAATTACATAACAAACTGAACAAACAAATTGTCGCTGAGTGTGCAACATATAAAGCATAATAATTTACAGAAGTTCGGTTCTGTTTTACAGTTCGTACTGTAATATGTTTGACTGTGTTTGTCAATTTAACATCCAGATTCTTTTGGTTTTCCGAAAAATCTGTAATATTCATCCTTTACTGATTATTAGAATGAAAAACGTTGGTTAAAGATGGTACTAAAAAAAATCCAGCACTTTCTTTTGTGTATAACTTTTTATTACATAGGTAAAAATTAATGAAATTTTGAGTAAAACTAGTTTAGAGTGAAATGTTAACATGCGCAAAGTCTCGTCACAATCTGTTAAGTGGTTATCGAGATGACTTCCAAACAAAAAGTGCTTCGACAAAAAATTATGGGAAAATCCAGGCCAGTCCCACAGGTGGATCACGAAACAGTTTGGAATCGACAATTCGACCGTGTTCCGTGTAGTAAAATCGTTCAGGAGACCCAGACGACTCAGCGGCGAGTTGACAGCGGAAGAAAAGCGAAGAGGACCGACCCCGCGAACGCAAGGAAGGTGAAAGATTACTTCTAGCGCAATCCGAACCTTTCGATTCGGGACGTGGTCAAAAAGGTCAATTCTTCCGTCTGGTTTGTCCAGCAGACTTCATGCCATCAAGGTAAGGAAGGCGCCTAACCGAACCGATAAACAGAATACGGTGGCCGAATTCCGCGCCAGGAAACTGTACCACAAGTGGTTGGTGCTGCCAAAATACATCGTAATGGATGACGAGACGTACATTAAAGCGGTCTCCAAGCTGATCCCCGGCCTGGAGTTTTTCGTCAACAAGTCCCACCTGGATGTTCCGGAGAAGTTCCAGAAGAAGATGGTTGACCAATTTGTCAAGAAGTACTTAGTATGGCAGGCTGTGGGTGCGGCAAATTCAGCAAGCCGTACATAACGACCGGCAAGGCAAAATATACAAAGAAGAATGCCTCCAGAAGCGCCTGCTGTCCTTCCTCCAGTCCCACGAATGTGACACTTTGTTTTGGCCGGATCTGGCATCGTGCCATTACGCGAAACCGGTGATGGAGTGGTACGAAGCCAACGATGTGGTTTTTGTGCCGAAGAAGGCTAATCCACCAAACTCCCCTCCCTTTGGCTAGTTTTTGCACGTTGTTGCTGGTGGGCAGGCTTAATTTCATGCTTTATAGCGGAGTGTTAGAGACGGTAGGTTTATGGCCGGCGTTGCTGGCTCATGCCGCGATAGAATGGCGTTATGGGCAGGCGATGGGGATTACTAAGCTTCCCCTCTCTGATGAACCACTGCATGAGAGAACCAAAGATCTAGTCTGGCAGTCATAGTATCACACTTGTTACTCCTTTGTTTGAGAGCCGCGTCGTAGTGCGCTTACGTATAGGCACTGGCGTTGGGTGCGATACTGGCGGGTTTTGCTGTAAATCACTCATATTTTATTTATTTTTATGCAGATAGATTTATTTTGGTTTGCAAAGAAATTATAATATTGAAATATTTCAGAAAGTTCCCTACAGTGCTCTTTCTATTTGCTTGACAAGCTTTCATTGTTGTTTTCATTGAACAATGTTAAACACCATTTTTGTACATGGTATTGTAACTAATCTTATGTGTGCTTCATTTTGATTTGGGATAAGTGTTTGAACTATGGCTCGGGATTTCCACTGTGGCGTGCTTTTACGTTTTTTGTGGTGCAACATACTGGAAGCGTGTGAGCATAGTTGGAGCATATATCCTATTTAATTAAAAAATCAGCTAGCAAAACTAACTTCAAAGTGTCACTTGAAGGTGTCACCTGGGTCGAAATAAGATATAATAAATATAGGTCAAAGTCAAAAGTACTTGAAACACGTTTAATTTTTCATTACAAGCACAAGTGCAGGTACTTAATAAAGCATAGGTTATGATTGATTAGGTGAATTAGAGATTTCAATAATTTATTAAATTAGACTAATGAGATATCATCATATAATCATCAAACGAACATAAATAAGAAAATTCAGAAAGTCCAATAACATTAGGTAGATTAACAAAAGAATTAGGATGTGGGGTCCGCTTAGGGAGGCAACTAACCTTTAAAATTGTAGAATAAATCTTCCTATTTAGTCTTGAACTTCAATAAGAAAAGACGCAAGCAGACCAATAGCATTAAGCAGATAAACAAGGAGAGAAATAGTTTAGGAAATAATTAAAATTAGAGGTATGTGACAATTAATAACATTTAATCTTTTGTAGGTACTGTTTTCCCGTGAGTTTATTGTACTCGATTACTATATTATTCTATCAATACTCGAAATCTCTGATATATGCGGCTAAAGCATTTGAGTTAACTTATTTCTTTTTGTTCAAGTACTTACATTTGTAAACAGCTATGAACGAAACCCTACGTGACTGTAAAATAGATCTTTCCTTATGTGATATTGATGTTTGTTTAACTGTTCGCGGCTGTCGGATTCAACGCGCCTACGTCTACGGAGCTTACGCAGAAGTGGTTCGCAATTCAGTAGAGCTTGCCAAAAGTTTTTTGAGCTTATGTTTAGAATTTGTTCGGTACGGTCGCAAAATTTTTATATGATTGATGCATGCGGTAAAATAACTAATTTGAAACAAAGCTCAAATTAGAATATCTAAGGAGGAAACCAATATGAATCAACTTGCCAACATAGGCTATCACATTTATTTTGGTGGCACTCTTTAAATGCTAATAAACCTTTTTTCTTTTTTTTTCGGTTCGGTTGTTTCGCACGGCGTTCGGAATTCACGCGGTTTTCGTAACTTACATAATCGAGATATATTTCGTTCGAAACGGATTAAATTCGTTCGGATTACTACGCGGATGTATCTACGCGGACACGTCACAGCATTTTTTCTATAACTATACACAAGGAATCCAGTGTTCAAGTTGCCAACATAGGCTAGTCCTTCTGCTGTATTGTCAAAGATAGAAGCAAAATTTATTCAAATGGGTTAAGTCTTGAAAACAAAACTGTCACGCAGCTCCAGCTTGATACCCAATAAAAAGGAGGCAAATCCGCCAAACTCACCTGAACTTCACCGAATAGAAAAATTCTGGGCGATTATGAAGGGCAAGCTCCGGAAAAAATGACAAGGATTTGAAGAAAGAGTGGATGAAAGTGTGTAAGAAAAATGGCGCAAGTGTTGCACAGGATTTGATAGGTAGCGTTAAGTCCAAGGTGTAGGCATTTAGCCTAGGAGAGGAGGTTGAATAAATCAACTTTGCAAAAACAGAGAGTTCCAAAAATATACGACTTGAAATAAATTTTGGTGATCATTTTTGTCTGCTGCATTTTTTTCGAGAACAGTCTTTTGTGTTTAGATTTAAAAAAAAACGATGATAAGTTGATTCTATTGTACTGCTTATAATCCCATATCAGTCCCATGTGGAAAAAATAGGCATTGAGAAAATGGCAGTTGAAGTTACGAAGTGCAATTCCCATGTCAATATTTGAAAAATCATAGTAAATTGATATTTTTTCAAGTTGAAATCAGTTGCAATTAAGCAGGCATGTTTTGTTACGTTAGTGAAAAATATGACGGTCCAAAAATAAGAACGATCTTGACCTCTGGACGATCGAGTTTCAAGATGAGACTGATATGCGATTACTTTGCTTGATGGGAAAAAGTGACACATTTTTCATGATCAAAGTCCGTAGTTGTACCACGTAATATGAAAGTAGAAACCAATTATTGATAGTGGATAACATTGTTATCTTAAAATTTACGAAAATCCATATATGTCTGATATGCGATTTTAGGCAGTATACTGATCACAAAAACAGGAACAGAGTAACATGCAACACATGCGGTGATTGGGAGTGCTCAAAACATCGCACTGTTATACTCACAACCATATGTGAAAGTTGTGTTTAACAATAAGAATGTGAAAATTGTTATTGTTTGGGTTTTCATAAGGAAACAAAAAAACATGAAACAATTGTTATATTTTAAATATTTACTTAATCGTTGTACTTCGGTGTCATTTTACGGTAGGTTTCTGTACTAAAGACGAAATATTGGACATTAAATTTAATGACTTACAACATTGCTGAACATTTAGAAGCTCCATATTGTCATCTTCTAGATTTAGTTGAATGATGCACTAATATGATAAGTCACTTCTTACTATTCTCTCAGTTCCAAGTATTTATAAAAAACACGGAACTTTAGTATCAGTTTCATTCAATGAGCATTCTCACGGATGATCCAGATCGTCCGGAGGAGCAGTTCCGTAGCCATTCGGATTCATGTTTATGTGATGACTTCAAATTCATTCTTATATCACAGTTCCACGAGTTTTCGGAAAAACCGCTTATCTCTAGGATCAGTTTCATAGATGGATAACTTTTACGTATGTTCCAGATCTACCGGAGGACGGTCTAGGTCCATTTTTATGTCACGACCCCAAATTATTTCTTATACCACAGTTCCTAATGTTTTCCAAAAAACCACGGAGCTATAGGATCAGTTTCGTGGATTGACCACTTTTATGGATGTTCCGGATCTTACAGGAGACCGTTCGTTTTCTCCAGGTTCCTTATATAGGAACCATGTCTATATTCTGGTTAATTATGATAATCTAAAGCCACTTGCAAAACCCATAAACACACCTTTAAAAAAAAGGTGTAACGACTCTTTTTGCTTTAAAAAAAGTAGGTGAACCTATTTTCAATCTATTTTCAATCAAAATAATCAACAAACACTAAGAATTAACGTTTGCATTAAAAAATGGGCTTTTTTCGGATGGTGATAAAAAAAGCTAAGACAGATAATTTCTTTTGATAAATTTCACATGGAAGATAATTATTTAAGCTTACTTGCAAAAAAATTCTACGCCCTTGCGAGCGGCCTTCCGGCAATTAACCGGAACATTCGCCATGGCGGACGAAAACATGCGTGTAGGCATGTTTTTGAGTTCTTTCTTCGTTTTATTTATCAATTCCTCCTCAGTTTTCGCGACAAAATTGTTGGAGTAGATCTTACGCTTCAGGTTGGTCCAGAAATTCTCGATGGGACGCAGCTGGGGGACGTTGGGTGAGTTCACCGACTTGGGTACCACATCGAATTCAGCCGCTCCATCTCCTCCAACGATCGCTTCGAGTAGTGGGCCGAAGCCAGATCCAGCCAGAACACCGCGTCTTCACCCTTATGGTATTTCTTGATGAACGACGCAACTTTCGACAGGCATTTTTTATAAATTTCCCCGTTCACGGCCAGTCCGGAGCAAAAGAAGAGCGGCTTTGACATCCCCTTCTCGCTGATTGTCAGCCACAGCAGCACCTTCTTGGGGAACTTGGTGTGTGAAATAAACTTCACCTCGGAGCTCATTTCCTTCGTGGGGGAAGTAAAATACGAAGTGCCCTGCCAGTCGTTGCCATCCAGGGTGAGATAGGTCTCGTCGTCCATCACCACCACCACGTCGCGATTCGCCGGGAAAAACTAGTTGACCATCTTATTCAGCCAATGCCGCTGCGTCATTGCCTGCAGTTCCGAAACCAGTGGACGTCACTTCCGCTTCCTGACATGTATGTTCATGTTCGCCAGGTACTTTTTCACTGTTTGGCCGGTTGCACCGACCTCCCGCACGCAGCGATGTAGCCACTTTTCCCTCGGTCTTCCTCTTCAACATCCTTTGGAGCGACAAGAAGGCTCAGGGTCGTCGACCGTCCGGAACAGGGCTTTCTTTCGATGCTCTGATTGTTGTCTAATAGTGCCAAGATGTTGTAGATGCCGGAACGGGCGTATCCGGCGTCCACAAAGTGCCGCACGATGTCCGTTTTCGACGCGGTGGGGTGCCGTTCTTTGAACGCGCACGCTTCTGAACGGAGTTGCTTCACTGTTTTTGCCATCACGGTTAGAGTTCGACTGATAGAGCTGTCAAATTTTGTCTGCTGACTCATGGGCTACTATGATTGATGCTGCATGGGTAGTTTGGTCAGGGTGAAGGTAAACCCATGAAAAATCCACATTTTTTGTCCATTTTTTTAAATGCAAACGTTATATATATATATAACTATAGTATTAAAACAAGTTTTGAAATTCATCAAGAAATGGTTAAGCTATGTCATTGCAAACTTGCAATTATACGTTTTTCGGAGGCATCGTGTTCGGAATATTAATCTAACAATAAAACTTTTTTTCCAATGCTACCGACGCCAGGGAGTCAGCTGCAACACCTGGACCCTATCCATCGACCCATCAAATCATGAACCGGGGACCAACGGCTTACTTCCCTTCCGAAGGAAGGCGTGATCAGAGATGTTATGCCTCAGAACATCCCGGTGGCACCGACTGGGATTGAACCCAGGCCTGCTGGGGTGAGAGGTAATCACGCTTACCACTACACCACCGGCGCCACTGAGATAACAACGTTATCCACTATCAATTAGTTTCTACTTTCATATTACTAAAACTACGGACTATGATCATGAACAATGTGAAATAACATCAAGTAACTTTGTCCCATCAAGCAAAGTAATCACATTCAGTACCATCCTGAAATTTGATCGTCAAAAAATTAATTTTAATATCACATCAAAGTGGATGCACTTCAATCGTGTCGAAAATATGGTTTAACGTTACTAGCCAAAAAGGACAAAATTATTATTAATACTGACATTACGACCTGAACTGACATTACGCTGCTTTTACTGCATTTGTTTATTTTTGTGGCCATAAAAATCACATGAGATTTTCGACATGATTGAAGTGCATCCTCTTGGATGTAATATTAAAATTTGCTTTTCCTGTGAATGCAATCCATTTAATAATTCAAATTCATCAGATACAGAATTATTATTAACCAATAATACATGCATCTCATTTTCTTAGAAATCTCATCACTCCAAAAGCTTGTATTGCAATCAACAAATGAGTTATTGTTTCGCAGTCGCTATTTTTTGTGATGGAATGCATACTTCAATTCTATCTGTACGAAGATCCATATACGGAACACATCTGTTCAAGATCAGGTCCCGGTCGACGCACAAATGGTCTGCGAAGGGAATGAAAACAACAGTGACGTAATCTAAGAAAAAGTCATTTGCTCACGCAAAGTGGATTCCCTTCTTAGAATACGACAGTACATTTTACGATCGCAAACATTTTCATGCATCCTTCGCACGCAGGAGGATGATTCGTAATACACGTACCTACAGCTTATAAGTAACATGCCTAACCGGTTGAAACGACAAAAATGTGGGCGAAAGCACTAAACCAGCGAAGATGCATGGGGGGACTGCTTAAGTTGAATTGGAAGCTTTGTGTTTGTACACACAACTTCCCAAGATCTATAAGATAAATAAAGTTTATTACGAAATCGGACCGGGTAATATCCATCCACATCATCCCCACATGTAGACGCGCTTGTTAATGGATTTGTCGTCATCGAGCGCTCGTGCGATTTCTTTTAAGTGGAAGTGTGCACAATACAAACAATCTCAACAACAACAACAACAACAATAACAAGAGCCATACGAGATGTCGTTTTGCCTTTATTTGGTGAAAAGGCGAAATCTCTTGGCCCAACGATGAATCAAACGCATATAAATAAAATGCTTATGCCACTTTGGCGAAGAAGGGAATATATGACGAGACTTATCGAAACCAGAGGAGGTTGGGAACTGTTCTGTGTGCGGTGTTTTGATTTACGAGCGACTGATGGGCGGCGGCCTGCCTACCCACTTCTTACTTTTATGTGAGGATTCTACACGAATAAATATATTTAAATGACGAATGGGTTGTAGGCATCGATCAAACATTGACTAGCTGCTGGCCCCAAGCTGAAAGTGAAAACCATGGATCGAATGTTTGAAGGTTTCGGTTAACATTTGTTAGTAGCTACAGTTAAGCTTATCGGATATTTGGTGCTATTTAGAGGAACATTATTATACAAGATATTTGCTCCGTGTTGTGTAGTAGGGGAAACCTCCATACACAACAATAGGCTTCTAACGCTGCTAACGTACCGCAACAATAGGGTTGTTTCCCCTATACAGGAATCCATTGAGGAGCACTATGGGTTGTGCAATCCACCTATAACTTCATTTGAAAATTATGCAATTAAAAATGGATAGAATTATCCATCCTAATTTTGGTACACAACATTCTTAGATGTACAGATCGGACTCGATTATCTTTATTAGCTTTTCGAAACGAAAAATGACTATTATTGTTGATTTACCACTCTAAAGAAAAGTGTTCAACATCTACCATCACGCTAAGGTTCGCATAAGTATATAATGATGCATTATCAAATCTTGGTGACATTGTTGAATTCAGTTAAAATGATGATTGCATTATGAAACATTTCTACATTTCTACTAACGTAATCGTCCCCCTAATGCTTTTCGATGACCAGAAATGTAAATGGATGTTGAACAAAAATATTATATTATATCTTTTTTTCAAATTAGTTTTTTTTTATTTAAAGCAAATAGGGGACATGGATGTCGGCCTAAATGCCCCTAATTTGGACCCATACATAAATTCAGCAATCGACTTAATTTTCAATAGCGACCAAAAATATCCATTAGTCCCAATGACGCGTTCATCTAGATAAAATATATAAATAGCAGAATTTTAGCCAATAGCCCAATCTTAGATCCATAGGCCAACATTGGAGCCATTTCCCCTATCTAAAAAAAAGACACTACGGATCCGATTAACAGTAAAGAATTTCTTTAAAAAATACTAATAATAAACAATAATTATAAGATAGCAGCGCCTCTCACCCCAAAGGTTTTGGGTTCAATCCCAGTCGGTGCCGAGGATTTTCTGCGGCATAAAATCTCTGATCACGCGTTCCTTTGGGGAAGTAAAGTCTTTGGTCTCCGGTCCATGAGTTGATGGGTTGATAGGTAGGGTCCAGGATAGGGAGCTGCCTCCCTGGCATCAGTAGCATTGGTACTCAGTACGAAAACAAGATCGACGGAAAAAAATCAAGGAAAAAATAATTATGAGTTCTTTATCACGTTTTTCTTCAGCTCCTCGACGACGAAAAATTTGCTCTTTTGGGTGCACATGGTAGGCCACGTTGATTTTTCTTCACGCAGCCATCGGGGACCGTACTTCCACAGCTCACTGTTGACCAATTCCTCCACTGAAACCCCACACGACACCATATCTGCAGGATTCTCTTTTCCGGAAATGTGCTGCCACTGTGAACCGTGAGCAGCAGCCTGAATTTTCGACACACGATTCTCTACGAACGTCTTCCACGTACGGGGGGGAGCTTTCACCCATTGGAGCACTATGTTGGAGTCGGACCAGAAGAAACAGTCGGAGAACTTCATACCAAGCGAACTGATGCTCTTTTCGTAGAGACGAGAAACGAAGAGCGTGGCACACAGCTCAAGGCGTGGGATGCTGAGAGGCTTTAAGATCCATGAGCAGTTTCGGTTCGAACCTATATGCATGCGCCGTACACTACCTCTGACGAATCTGCAAAGCAGTGTAGCTCCGTGGAGCAATAACCAGGAACGAAAGCAAATCGCTCGACGGTTGGAGTAGTTACTCGCAGAATTCAGCCCTTTTGCGTTGCCGATCTTATGTGCCTACATCGTCCCAATCCAAAGCCAATATGTTTGCCTGCACCACAAGTGGCGTGATAACTCCGATCGTGTAACTGGGCGATGGCCAACAGGATACTGCGCTTGGTAGGAGGCTGATCCTTGGCGGTGACGGAAACATCGAAACGGAAAACATTTGCTGCGGATTCCGTCGGTCTTGATGCTTTCTTCAGAATCGAATTTCAGCGACGATTGAGTGCCGAGTAGTATGAGCACGAGTTGCGCAATTTGAAACCACCCTTCTACAGAAGTTCGTCCAGTTCTTCTCGAAGTTGATACTGTCATCGCCTGCGAAGAGATCGTCCACGTATACATAGGGGAAACGCTCCTATAGTTACGGTTCGTTAGAAGCGTTAGGTTCCTATAGTTGTGTATGAAGTCTCCATACACAACTATAGGAATCTAACGCTTCTAACGTACTGCAACTATAGAAGCGTTTACCCTACATCATTCTTTATCGCTTTGCTTGCTTTCGAGAATGGGGTGCCTTCATCTTTGAAGAGCTGCAAAAGAGTACGAGTGGCAAGAAACAAGGATGGAGGAAGGTCATAACTGTAATCATATTCAGCTCATACGTCTGCAACGGCTCGAAGCTGTTAAAATTATCACGAGAAGAAGTAGGATAGACAACTCTCACGTTGGTTGTAGAGCTGGATTCTTTTACAACGCGATGGTAAGGGATGTAATAAACTTTCGATTCGTTTCCTTCTTCCTCCTGGACGAGAGTTATGTGCCCTAGGGACAGGTATTCCCTCATGAACTCTTGGTATTGAGTCTTTGAGGTTTTCATCCTTTGACAATCGCTGTTCCAGCAACCGAAATCTACGCAGCGCTGCAGTCTCCGAAATTCCAATCAACTGGTCATGTTCGGGATGCATCGGTATTCGCACGATGTATCGACTGTTCGGGTCACGGGAAAGGGTTTCTTTGTAATAATCTCGCATTTTTGCTCGTCAACGGAATTAGTTCGAACCATGTATTTCTTACACTAGCCAAAAACGTTCCAGCTGATTGCTGATGGAAAGAACTGTCGCAGCACGACAGGTTACCGCAGACCGGGAGTCCAATCCATAGAGGTTATCGAGGCTTCCGGGTTCTATCCAGCCGAACACCGTCTCGACAAGTAGAGATCCAGGCCTGGGCAAGCGGATCTGGCCATCACGCATGAACGAGTAGAAACGAACAGCGCCGATAATCATGTCTACCTTTGGGGACTTCTTGAAGTCGGGATCACATTCGGGAATGTTCAATCCCAATAAACAATTTTTGTTTTATGAGGGTTCTGTAGATCATGATTTAGACTTGTATTATGCTATACAATACAAGCTTGCAATGTTACTTGGGCATTGAACGGCAGGGAACTATATACGCGGAGTGTCACGGGTCACCTTCCGCAGCACCAAGAACTCCATGGATTCCTGGAATTCAGCCATTCGAGAACAGATTTCTGCTCGGACTTCGTGCTTCGCGTTGGTGATCGTGCTATCCACACTGGCTAAGGAGCACATTGGTGTTGCATGACTTACTCTTTGATACGAATTCGGGAGCAGGTATTGCTGTGGTCACTACGCTGGGTGATCCGAAAGAAGAACTCTCATTGCTGGATGCGACATTGCCTTCTGAAGCAGGTCTGTCCACCTCAAACGGTCCTAAATGGATCATCGAACGATATCTCCTCGAGAAATGCTGGCAGGAGTCTTTCGAGTGGCAGTTTATTTATTTATTTATTTATTGTTTCAATTGTTCATCTGACAAATGGTTGTCCTAATGAATTAAAAAATTATTATTAAAACAAAACGAGGCACGTTATAATTCAGGGAAGTCTTCTAATAAAAACAGCTAACGGCACAATAAAGTCAAACAATGCATAAACGTCATTAAACGCATTAGCGACGGCAAGGATAGATTCATTCAACCCGTATTGCCGATTACGAGCAGCGAGATGTACAAAATTACGCTGTCTAATCAATCTGTCAGGTGCGTAAAAGAAAAGCTGCCGAAGCAATTCTGGGGAATCAATCTCGCTGGTATCTTAGCAGCAAACAAAGCTTGCACGTTCCGTCTCCTTCGTTCCAAGGTGTCAATTCCAAGCAGACGACAGCGATCCACGTAAGACGGAAAGAAAGCCGTGTCACGCCAGGACAGATGACGAAGCGCGTAGAGAACAAACTTTTTCAGTATACTCTCAAATCTAGCTATCCAGCATGCTTGGTACAGGTACCAGACGACAGCACTATACTCTAAGATTGAACGTACTAACGAACAATACAGCGTCCGCAGTATTACTCCTAAATCTTTAATCTGGTTCATCCGCTCTAACGTTTGCTCGGAAATGGAATAATCAAATATTATCGGGCTTTGTTTGCGGTGAAAAGATATCACAATGCACTTGTTGATGCTGAGCGTCAAGAAGTTACGGGAGTACCAACACGATTCACAATCAGCTGCAACTCCTCACAATCAGCGATGCAATTGATAACCATATACATTTTGACATCGTCAGCGTAGAATAGCCGGCATCCAGGTGGCAGTAGACACGAAAGCTCGTTGACGAAAAGCGAAAACAGAAATGTTCCCTGATTACTTCCTTGAAGAACGCCGGAAACGTTCGTGAACACTTCAGGAGAAACTCCAATCTTAACGCAAAGCGAACGGTTCGTAAGGTAAGATTTGAACCACGAGATGAAGGATCCAGCCACTTCGAGTTTCTAAAGCTTGCTACGGGCGAAGTGATCGCTACGGAAACAGTTCCTGCATAGTTATTTGCCCACAACTACTTTCATGCGGCCTTTCGCGTCGAAACCGTTGAACAAGAAACAGTCGAAGATGGAATTCTTGTGCCTTTCACAAGCAGGACAGTTAGGGAACGATTTCGCTGGAATTTCAGTTGTTGGGTGGGCGCTGAATCGGGGCTGGTTGCATTTCTTCGGAGCAAAAGGATGATTAACGGGCTTGAGATTAGCATGCTGCTGTCGATTTATCAGTTCGTTTCCAGAATACGGGTTCGCTTCTGAAGAAACTTGACCCTTTGGGAGTACATAGGGTGCGTCTCCGTCCCATGAAGTAATCGAAGCATCGTACAACTTGTCCTCGACCAACTGAGGATTGAGCTGAATTGCTCGACAGTCTCGCCGAGTTGTTCAAGCACTTTGATGTGGCGCTGAAACTCATCCACAATCCGAAGAAAAGCTTCCACGGCTCTGAATTTTCGGGGACTTGATTAGGGCTCGAATGTGCTTCTTGTGGAGAATGGCCTTGTTCGAGTACCGATTGACCAACGTTTCCCAGGCGACAGCGTAATTGTTCGCCGGTATTGAGATCGACTGGATCAAATTGGGTGCCTCTCCCTTGAAGGCAACCCAGAGGTAATGGAACTTCTGCACCTGCAATATTTCCGTCGACGAATGAATCATCGACATGAACGTGTCGTGAAACGTCAGCCAATTTTTTTTTTTTTTTGACTAAATGTTTTAGTATTACTTCTACGTGAAGTCAACGATTTACATAGTTGAAGATGCTAATTTTAAATAACAGACTGTAGTGGTAATTTTTATACGATAGATGGAGTAAATGAAAGCATAGAGTTGATAGTTCCGTTAGAGTACGGCAGTGTGAAGATTGTATATAGATATTAGACAAGCGAGCTAGGACAACTTTTAAGGAAGGTACAAATCGGTTTTTTCATCTCTCTTTACCAAACTCCCCCTTTGGAGAGGGATGGTGAGGGGTGTCCTCTATTTATGCTTTCATCTACTCCATCTATCATATAAAAATTACCACTACAGTCTGTTATTTGAAATTAGCATCTTCAACTATGTCAGCCAATTGTTGAAATCGCCATCGACTCGGGTAGCGATATAGTTGGTAGCAATTGAATAGCTAAAGAACTTTTAATAAGGGCAATAGGAAAACTGCTTGTATACAATGATCTAAAAGCTTGGTTAGAAATGTTCATATAAACTTCAAATGGTTTGTGCCAAGTAACTTTCTTAGTAAATAAGTTCAGATTTTGAGAGGCTAATCAAGACCCGATTTGGAGCCGTTTGAGCGAATATTTCTAAGTTTGCATCAGTCTATTTAGTGTCTACTGTCCATATGTTTTTTTTATATGTATGGATTATTTTTCATGCAGGGGATGGAGGGGAAACTGAAACCTATCATAACCTGTCCACGTGGATTATGGACAGCCCTAAGTTGTTCTCAAAGAGAGTTTTTTCATGTTTTCCATGCGTAAAAGAAATTATAATTGGAATTCGACCATAATTTTCTATAGCGAAATTCCCTTCGTGGTGAAATAATGGCCAAACGACGGACGGCGAAATTACACAGCCAAGGTAAGCGCAATGATCGTCCAAGAAAGCCATACATCTATCCCTAAAATATCCTCGAGCAAGCCAGGGGCACGAACCAGCGACTTCCAGGATGGCTCACCACACGCCACACCAAATCGTTAGGTTTTATGCCATAATTGTATTCCCTAATAGCCCCTTATATTGCAGTAAGAGGCAGTTAACTTAAATAACAGGCTTCAAACTCCGTAGTGTCCTGATTCCAAATGCAGTTAAATTGAAAATTGTGCCTACATAACTACGTAGCGAGAATACACTCACACACGCCTTACCATCACACGTGAGACTGCGCTTGGGGTGGTCTCCTTTCGGTCTGGCAGGAAGCGGAAATATTCAATATACTTACCAACTCTCACTGCAGTATTCCCTACGGTCGGTAACGGGGTTCTGCTGACGTGGCTGACACTCCGCCTGACCCAACAGGATGCAACGACGCAATCGCGCCTAGTTACCCCCATTTTCAGCCGAATGCGGTGGTGTCGAATAAATTGCAAGGAACTAAGGAAATTCATGAAAGCAGAGCAATGAAAGAATTTCTTCTTTCACCCTTCCTCAACATTTTGCCTGGGTGGTGGTGGGATCCAAGTTGATGACTCATACTTTTTTCCTAGTCTGAAATTTAATTTCCGAGTTTGATAAAATGGAAAAGCCATAACCATACTACATAAAAGCAAACAAAAAAAAGTAATTGGATTTTTATGCCTGCTATTTTTACATTGAAGTACTGCACCATTTAGGCAGTGATTGAGTAAAAACGCAAAACATTGAAAAAAGCGTAGTAACAAACATGTGCTTGCAACTTATGCTAACGAAAGGCTCGTTCTAGGTCACCTCGGGCAGCAACCGACACAGCACACTCTTTTGTGATGGCGATGGGGTTTTCCGATTCAAGATTACCTACCGAGCATGTTAGTGTACTTGCTTGAGCTTCAGTTAATTTATGGAAGTTTTAAATGACAAGCAGAAACGCTAAAGTGAACCGACTTACGACAACAACGTGCAGACATACATTTTATGCCATACATATGTTGCAGACGACCATAAAATATTGAATGCGTTGCGTTGCTCGCATACAACAAATTCCAGTTGAATGTTTATGGTGATATGCCGGGGAGTCGATTATTATTAGGGTGGCAGTGATGTTCAAACATGTTGATCATTCATAATTGATACAGATTCTTTTGGGGTAAATGGAACACATTAAAAATGAATTAATCGAATATTTATGGACTTACTAATATCGAATTATGGGATATCTGTTGAACTAGCACTTTTCTCTCAAATCGGAGAAAGCAAGTTAACACATAACGACTTACAAAATTTTGCAGAGCAACATGATCGTTTATACCACGTTCAGACTATAGACTTATAACATTTTATAGAAATTATTGACAAGTAACTTTCATCAAGATAGGCGTTCATAAACACGTATATAACTGCTCAGTCTGGCCAACGTCTTATGCTGATGATCTATGAAACCGGTTTATCGATTTTCAGTAAATCATAACCAAATAATTACATAGGAGAAATGGATGTAATGTCGGCCTAAATGCCCCTAATTTAGGCTCATACATAAATTCAGCAATCGACGACCAAAAATATTCATTAGTACCGTCCCAATGACGAGTTCATCTAGATAAAATTGATAAATAGCAGATTTTTAGCGATGGGCCCAATCTTAGATCCATAAGCCAACATTAGAGCTATTTCCCCTAGTACATTACAAAGAAGACAGGATTACGAACTATAAACCTCCTATAAACTATACTCCAACATGC